GGTGTTGATCACAGATCGATGCAGTGTGGCCGATTCGGTCGGAAACGGCCGAAAACGGCCAAACCGAGGCCGAATCGCCGCCGTGCCGGAATTGCGATATTGGCCAAAAAGGGGCCATGAGCTAATTTGGAATTTTTTGAAAAACGTGCAGGTACCAGTAGTGCGTTTCAGTTCCCCAGAAAAAATTCAGGAAAAATTAGGGACAGCCTGCAAGCGCACTGTGAAGCCGTGTTCGGATCCCGAAACGAGTAAGGACCCCTCACCCTATTTCCTATCACGGTATTAAAGTTCAATAATGATAAAACGGTATTTCTTGAATCAACGAATGTGTGAAATTGCTTAAGGTCGCTAATGGAACCCGAGTCTAGTGTGTTTGTCGGTTAACTGTTATTTGGCCTATTTTACAGTTTTAAAAGCAGTATGAGGTTTGATGTTTTCATTTCATAGTTTCGTGTGCATATTTTACTGTTTTATTGATTATAGATTGAATGACTGGGATATTGATACTGTATGTTGTCCGTTTGGCATGAATTACTGTTTTGCTTGTTTGTATTTGAATTGATGATGCTGACTGAGGAAAAAGAGAATGAAAGATTATGTAAATTGGTAATTGTATAATGTGGTCAGCCTGACTAGATATCCTGGGAGATGGTGGACGGACCGGGTCCATAGGGAAACCAACCGGGATGGTGGTCTCCCATACCGGACGGGGTATGGAGATCTTATGTGTTTTGGCGCCCATACCGGACGGGGCATGGGGACGGCCCTGGAATCTGATTTCAAGTGTTAAGGGTTAACGGGTAGCGGGACCCCTATGGATCCTCATGGATACTAGTGAGCTGGTAAATGAGGAAAATATGTTGTGTAACGATTGAATTACGAAAGGCTTGATAAGTATTATGTTATACAATTTATATATGATTTCATGATGATGATAATGTTATTACTTTCGTACACTGTTTTATGGATTTCACCGAGGTAAGTGGATGGTGAAGGATTTATTATTGATAAAAGAATTTGTTGTAAATTATGCTTCATTGGTCTTTTTGTGTTTTCTACCCACCTTTACCTCCGTGACGGTGAGATATCGTGATGTCTTTACTGGGCTAGTGTAGCTCATTCCTTATTTAATCATTTCATATCAGGAAGACATTGTTCCCGAGCCGGTTCCGCAGGAGGACGACGAAGGGGACGCCTAAAGACTCCATAGTCATATTCGTAGCTTTTACTTTCAAGTTTCTTCTTTAAGTAGTTTGATCTTTTATATTTTGTGAGCACGTTTTTGGTTTTAATGTAAGGGATGTTAATCGAATTTTTGACTTCGCTTCTGCATTTGATATTTTTAATATACATTTCATTTTAAATTTTCCGGGGCTGTTACAAAGATACTAGATTTAAGAAAAAAGAACTAAAAGATCAATTTTTTCTCTAATTTAACCAGAAATTAATCTAATTAGGAAATTAAATTAGTTTACCATTTTAGTTAGGGAGTTGACAATCTCACATGTATATGTTTATAGTTTGTTCTTGATATTAATATTATTATAATTAAGGGTGAGTTTTGGCTGAAATTTTTCCTTTTAACTTTTATATTTAAA